CAGCCAGCTTTGGAAAGTGTTTTCCTTGTGAATAATCTTTCACCCAGGATCCCTAGTCTTGAAGGTTTAAACTAAACCACTCTGATTTTCTTCTTATTCCCCAAATTGCATTGTTTCATTCAGTTGTCCTTTTACTAGGAGTTACAACTGTTCTACATTTGTTATTCAGCTATACACTGAAAAACATTCTACGTGCCCTCAAAATTTTTTTTTGACTTTTCAGTCAGTGACTGAAAAATATCATTATTTAGAGATTACCTTTGATATGATGTTATTGTTCTATAATACAAATAACTACGTTGACTAAAATGGGCTATATCCTGAAAGCAGCCATACTAAGTTGTTCTCAAAATGTACCTCAATCATCTTAGTGGAAAGTTAGAACAAAAATATGTATCCAAGACAGGACATATAGCTTAGTAATTCAATATATGAGCAATAATTTATATATTTTTCTCAGACATATATACTACATTTTGTTTATATGTAAGTGTTAAGAAAGGAAATATTTTTGTCATTAAGTTTTTCATATCAGAAAACTCGGATTCAGATTCAAGCTGTTCAATCAAGAACATTTGTACAAGCAAATCCATTTTCTATTACATGGAAAAAAAAATTTCTATATACATACCAGACAAAAAAGAGCAAACGATGTAAGTTATATTACTATTCTTGCTAGAAATCAAAAGAGGGTAGGATTATGTATATCTTTTAAAAGAGGGTATATTCAAATATTTTTAAAAAGATGAATAATTTCAAGCATAAATAAATAAAACATAATTATGTCATAAAATATTTTATAAAAATTGAAAGTATTATAATTATTTATAACTCATGATTACAAAACCAATGAGTTATCATAAAGATAATATATTACCAGAAAAAATAAAATTCTGTTAGTATTAAGCAGATTTTTTTCAGTTATAAGTAAGACCTAGAAGGTAAACACAGGACATTTGAAACAAATCCATGTAATGAAATGCACTGATAATTGTCTAAAGAAGTACACAGTTTCTTGGATTGCTTACTGAATGAACCTTAAATAATAATATTTTTAAAATCAGGAAGAAGGTAAGGCAAAAAGAAAATCAATTAGAAAATGCACATGTTGATTCGTTACTTTTTCGGACACATTTATGAAAGAACAATCTGAGTATCTTTCTAAATGGTCAAGTTAAACTGTGAAAAAAAATCAGAAAAATAAATACTTACTTAGTTTATAAGTTTAAATAAATGAAAAGTAATGTATCTTTGATGCATTAATATTTGCATCAAAATTAAAGCCATTAATTATTCCAAAAATTGTAATACACCATCTTGTGGTTATCTGAAAGGAATGCAATTTACAGTTTTGAGATTTTTTAAGATCTACATATTTCAGCATTACCTTCTGTTTTCAGATTTAACCTGCCCTCATTTAAAAATAATACAGTCTTCTACTACTCTTAATTATCAAACAATTTGGAAATATAAAAACGTTATAGTCATTAAGATCTATTTGTTCCATTAATAAATTATAAAACATATGCTATAAAAGACATTTTATTTTCACCTTTAGATAATAATTATTACTAAGTTTATCATTATCATCATCATTGGAGGTTAAGACTTAACAGAAATATATCAGTTATTCATAAATTTTACACATAAACTTCATTTTCAGCTGTACTATGTGTTTATTTTATCTGCCAGCCTATGTAGATAAAGACAGAAAATTTCATTTGTTCTTTTAAAAAATACTAGAATACTATAAATTAAAGAAATAAGAAAGAAAACATAAAAAGAGAAGGAAAAATAAATAAAGCACTTTGGGATATGAATCGTGAATAATATATTTTTGCTTACCTTTAAGGTGCAAACATAATTCATTGCATGTTTAGTTCTCAAAAAATAATTGTTGATTAAATAAACACTTTTATAAATGTTTACTTTGTTATTAAAATCTAAAAAATTTCAGTTATAGACACAATTATAAGTGTAAATAAATTCTGAATTCCTGTATGTTCTCATGCATATCTTATAAGAAAATCTAGGAATATTTCACAGTTATTTTAATAAATTAAATGAGCTGTTAAACAAACTGTATAGCCCAAGAAAATAAGTTCTTTTTCTCCAGAAAATGAGGGAAAACTGAGCCCAAGAACCTAATTTATTAAAATTAATAAAATGGGTCACTTCTAATAAACCCATAATTATTTACTTTATAAACAAATTTCTTTTGAATTATATGGAAACAATTCTTTTTTATTCTTTATGGTAGATTTTTCCAAGTAAGTTACTGGACTCTATTTCATTATTGATTTAACTAGAGAGGAAAGAAAGAAAGGAAGGAAGGAAGGAAGGAAGAAAGAAAGGAAGAAAGGAAGAAAGAAAAAGATTATCTTATGCCAACAGGCACTGTTGGAGAGCTTGGAGGTACAAACTAAAATCATGAGGTCCTTGTCCTAAAGGAACTAAGAGTCTAACAGGGAGAGAAATCAACATTTGAATAAAATATTGTGCTAAGGGAGAATGGAGATGTGCATAGGTTTCACAGAGAAAAAGATGGATGTGGTCTGAAATGGACAAAATACATTCCCAACTTTCTCAAAGTTGGAGGAAATTTTTGGAATGATGGTAGTACTTGAAATCAGCCAAGTTAAAAAAAAAATGAGATATATAGGTCACATTTCCCCCCTCTTGGAAAAGAAAATAAAAATCTAACACCACCTTGTGGAAACAGCTGCGCACTGTACCCAAATCCATTATGCCTATTGATTAGGAAAAGCTTTCTTGGCAAGTTGATACCTACTCTTGAATCTCTGATTTAAAATGACTAGTGGGAGTCTGCCAGGTAGAAAAATGGACAAAGTTTGCTCAGGTCGAATGGAAGAGGGTTTTTAAAAAGCTGGATGACCTTGGAACATTGAAAGTAATTTAGTGTGGCTAGAGTACAGGTACAAATTAGGGAGAAGCAAAAGATAAAACTACAGTGGTGGACAGAGCTGGGGAATTTGAACTGCATTACAGAAGCTATGTAGAGACAGTGTGTGAGCATTGGGGAATGTGACTAATAATGTTCATGTCATGTCAACACAGTTGCTTCTTTCCAATATAATATTTTATCTGTTTCAGACAAAAATAAAAAGTACACTGATCTCCTTTTTCTATTTTTTTAGAAGGCTGTAGAGTTCCATAGGAAGTGGCAGCTTGTTGATATATAAAAAATTCAACTAAACTAGTCATTTATAATGACAATAAAGGTTATTTCACAAAAGTAATCCCCATGTCCTTTTTAAAATTTTAAACAAAATGCTTTTAAGATAATTTTGCACAGAGACATGGCCCAGGTAAGTCATATGAACAGGATATAAATAGAAAGGAGCAGTAGAATACCACATGTTGTCATGAGATTGTTTGTGTTTTATTTTAATATTGAGCTGTAACTGAAAGAAAATCATTGCATAAGGATGATTTGAGGTTCCAACTGGGAAACCTAAATTTCTTCTATAATTTTCGACTCATTTGAAATACTAACTAACCAAATATCACATTTAATAACAAATTATAGTAAAAATGAAAATTGGAGAGTCAATATTTTTCATCTTTGGTTAATTATTTGGATTTGATTCAAAAACTCATTTTGACACCATAAAAAAAGATCATAACATAAAAAGTATACTTAGACGTAATGGTCAGTGACACCAAACCCAACAGATATTTGATTTAGCCAAGTCAGCAGATATATCCATCCTGAATGTTGTGGGAAAATAAATCATGTGATTGTCTAAATTTTTTCAAACTTTTGAATTGGTTATTGTACTCATATACAGAATGGGGCTATCAAAATAGTCATTTATAAAAACACTATTTCAAGGAATCAGTACCGTAGTCAAGTAAAAATGTAGGAATGCTGTCTCCAAAATTCTGATTTCAGAAAGGATAAGTAATTGTATCATAAATTATTAAAGACAAATGAAAAAATCATATTCCTGTCTTCATATTTACCAATAAAAGTTCATAAACCTTTCACATATTAAAGAGAATATAATCTCACTCTTGTGCAGATCTAAAAGTTAAGATCTAAAAAATGTTTTTTAATTAAAAACAGAGATGTTTATATACTAAAAGACTAAAATTTGAGAAGACTTAAAAATGTTAAAACAGCATTTTATGTCCAGAGTCATAAATTTATATTAAAAAGTATCCTGTCCCATTTGAAAGAGAGAGAGCTCTATAAATATTCAGCCTTATATTTATAGAACAGAGGGAATCATAGCACTAGAAATACAAAATCTGAACCAGGTTCACAAACTTTTTGAGAATAGAACATAAAGACATTTGTGCAAAAGACTAAATATATTAAAATCCCAAGAAAAATTACAATAGTCTCAATATTTTTGAGGTTTATATATATTCTTCTAGAAACTCAGCTGTAAGGAAATAAAAAGATTCACTCAGAGTAACATTAAGTGACAAAGAAGAAACTACAATATTCTCACATATTCCTTAATGTAGAAAATGAATTATAATTTCCACAATGCAGGTTAAGATTTTTTTCCATTAGAAATTTATTGGACCAAAAATCTTCAGGTGAAAATTTCATTTATTCTCTAACTTGAAACTGTTAATTAGTATTGTATCTTAAAACACTTTTTATACCCAGAGAAGTTTTTTTTTCCTTCACATTACAGTTTCTGGTTTTTACTTCCTTCATTAATTATATTCCTCTAATACACTAATGGCAGTGAGCTTCAAGCAGCAGGAGTTTCTCCTTTTTTCAGGCTTCAGGAAGAGGAGAAGTAGCTACCTGTCCCGAAGCTGGCTTGAAGTAAAAGTATTATATTTAAATTTAACAACCATGAAGGTGATCGTTAGTTAGGTGAGGCTTTGTTATGTAACGAGTGGCAGAAGACAATAAACAGTCACAGTTCTAAGCATTACTCTTGGTTGGAAAGATCAAAAATAGTTTGTTTTATTATAACAATGATTGTTTTAAGTTGTAAAAAAGTGACATTTACCTTTTCCAATTGAGCGTTTTTTTTGGATTTGTATAAAAACTCTCCCACTGCCACAAAAACTGAGAGCACCAAGCCGGCTGCCAGAACAATGAAGATGCCACCAATATTCTGAACCCCCAGGGCACTGGCCTCTTTGCTCTCCTCCTCTGGACACCCATTGCCCCTCCACCACTTCTCCTTCATCATGTGCAGCTTGCCTTCCTCTTGCAGCTGAAGAATTGCTATGGTGATTTTGTCTCTATACGGAGAACCTAAGAAAAGAGAGGTTTGTTAACGATTTCAACCCAGAATTTCATAATTAAAGAAAGGTTAACATGATGAGAGAATAGAGCTTTTTCCAAACACTCCAAAGTGTGCCAATATTTATTTTCAGTCGGGAAAAAAAAAAGCTGGAAAATGGCAAAGAATAGAAGTTTAACAAGATAAACAGGGTGGGTGGCCTTTCTGATTTTGAAGGGTAAAATATATTTTGTTTTGAAGGAAGAAAACATCTCCTTCTAAAAGGCAGGTTCAGCTCAGAGCAGTGAAAAGTAAATAAAGTGGTGAGCAGAAATCTACAAAAGGAAATGGATAGGGTGCAAGAATATTTAATGTCTGGGAATCCTTCTACACTGGAAACAGAGCATTGATAGAACAGTTACCTTGGTTTTTACAAAAGTTGTGGAAAAAATGATGTTTCCTGTGATTAAGTGCAATAATTGATGGCAATCATGATTCAGCTATATTGAGAGGTAGCTAATACTTTGCAAATAATAAGTAATACTCATATTTGTTATTTGATATGAATGATAGAATAGGTTTGTACAGACGGATCACTCAAAAATCCTCATGGGGATTTTTGTGAAAGTTTTTGGTTGTTTACTTATTGTTTTATGCTTTGGGGAGAAATATTCTCTTCAGTAGAGGCAACAATGTAAATGAAATTTGGTATTTATGCTGATGAGGGCAGATACTCATCTGCATTCGCTATTATATGATAATTAATAACTTTTCTAATCGTTTGCCCAGAAGCATGGAATAATATTGAACTATATGCATCTTTCAACATTTGTCCCCACGGATCAGTCTTACTGCTTTCTTCCACCCAGAAACAGCCTGTTTCTAAAGTTTAATCTTCTTGCCTAAAACATTATACTGTACATTTCATTTTTCTGCACAAAATCATCCATAAGTGTTTTTCTATAAGCAGAAAAATCAGATCATATTCAGCGTTGCCTATGATTTGGTTTTGATTTAAATACACTTACATTCATACCTAAAGCTTTATTTTTCACTAAGAGGTCTTAAAAACCTGGTCAGGAAACTACTCTGCCTTATAAGGGGCATCAATACATGTCTTCTCTTCATTTGATTAATATAATGGGACTAATTCAGCATTACTCTTTCAGCAGGAATAGGCAGCTAAAAGCAGAAACATAAGGAAAATCATACAAAGTTAGCAGCCTATTGAAAAAGTTGGAGGAGTGAAGATCTATTAAATCCAGCTGGAGAGCTGTTTCTTTAACATAATCCTCATTCTGCTCAGTAGAAATGTTTAAATATATGGTTTCTATACATTTTTCACAGCTCTCCTAAAGGGGGCATTATCCATTTGTACAATTAGAGCTCAAATATTTTATTTTTATGGTGCAACAATCCCTAATTATAGTAAGGGAATTTTGGGTCCTCAGTTTCCTTTCTCTACTCTCTCCCAAATACTACTGTGATGAAAATACTCAGTTTCAGTTCTACCCCTCACCCACTGCAGATTTCAGTGGATTAGCCTAGCCCACGCCACCTTCTACCTTGATCACTCAGCGGACACTCAGCCTAGGTCACCCAGCATTACTATTATTTACCTTTCAAGATATGATTTATTTTCCTAAGTAGATTATACTCTTTGGAATAGAGGGTATCTATCTACTCTTATCTAACTATCTAATCATCCACCTTAATTTTCAATCTTCTCTACAGAATAAGCTCTCAGAATGTTTCATATTATGAGGAGTATTGTATCTGATTGAGGCAGTCCTAGCATAACGTAAGAATGACAATGGGGGTTTTGGTCTTCTCTGACATGTATTTAAAAACCATAAATGAAGGTCATCTTGTTTGGCGAGCCAGTTTTCATTAATTCACTACATCTAGCTGGGCACCAGCTTCAAAGTCACTTTTACTCTGAATTAGTATTCTGATTAGCCATGTATATTCCCTGCGAAATAAATATTTGATTGAAAAATTTATTTTAAGAGAGTCATAGTCTATCAAATATGTCCTTCAATTAGAAACATAGCATCTGAAACGAACTTTTGAATGATCATACTTGTGAAAATGGTCACAGGTGGTTAATACAAAAATTGTGGCCTCTTTCCTGGAAGTGACTTTGATTCTTGATCCCATTCACTAGGTAAGAAAAGGTCCTAACTTACATAGATGAAAGGAAGGAAGGAAGGAAGAAGGAAAAGGAAGGAAGGAAGGAAGGAAGGAAGGAAGGAAGGAAGG